CACACAATAGAGAAAGAAAGAAGTATAATTTTCCTAAAACTCCATAGCCTCTAGAGGAAAAGTAAAGATGTCTCTGTACCGATCCTCCAGATTATACTAAGCTTGTTCATGACTTGTGAGACCTAAGAAATCTAGTGCTCTAATACCAATTTGTCACGACCCAAAATCCCAACCTCGGGGTTGTGATGGCGCCTAATGTCCACTTGCTATACAAGCCAATATTAGTTAAATAATTTAATAATTAAACAGTCAACACTACAAGAAAATAGGCCTTTAGCGAGGGGAAATTTGGTCGTTAGAAGTCCAGATCCGGTCGCTATAAGTCAATAACGACCGATAAAAATCCGGTCGTCATCGGTCGTTAAAAGCTCCGACGTTAAAAGTTAACGACCGATTTTCAATCCGGTCGTTAAAGACCCTTTAGCGACGGCATTATTTCCGGTCGTTATATATTGTTTTTAGCGACATGATTTTTCCCTAGTTAATGTGTTATCCAGTCTTTAAAAGTGTTCAATGCCAACAACTAATTTGGTCCTTACAAGTTTTTTTAGCGACCAAAAGTCCCTTCGCTAATTGTATAATTACATTTAATCGCTAATGCCTAATAAACTTTTTGAGAAACCTGTTATTCAATAGTTACTATGACCACATTCCCTTCGCTACTGGAAAATTTTGATAAATACAATGACAAAAATATATATTTCACTAATAGTACATATGCTTTCATACACACACCAGACATATTTGTAAATAAACCAAATGATTGATATTCTGTTAATACAAAGATCTAAGCATCACATTACCAGAAAGAAATTCAAATAGTATAACATCATCACATTACCAGAAAGCAATCCAAATAGTATAACATCATTTTTAACAATTCCTAAAAATAGAAAAAAATAAAATTGCAGCATATGTACATAAGACAATGCCTTCAAACCATCCCTAACATAACAAAATTCTCTTGTTCTTAAGCTTGATGTGCACTTTCTTCAACAATAAGTTCTTCAGACTTCCAAGCTTTTGATCTGTTGAAGTAAAAAGTTTATGTCAGTTTGTAATAAAGAATAAAAAATTAAAGAAGAAGATTAGATTCATCAAAGACTACACTGATCGCCTTAGTGAAATAATACAATTATCAGTTGACATAATAGTAGGCAATATTGTAGCAGAAAAACGTCGCATTATATTTCCTACATTCACAGACAATGATCAGAAGACTGATGAAGTTCTAAATCACACATCCTAGTCATACTAAAACCTGCATAGCAAATTGTTTTATTCTGGCAAGCACATTCTATATAGAGCTTCATTCGATTCTACACATAAGGAGGAAAAGCGATTGAAATACAAAATGCATATAGAAACTTTTGAGAAAGAGTCGATTATGACTTCAAATCAAGTCTCTATGAAGAACCGATGATTGTACATATACCAAACTTCCCTTTACAACTCACCTTTTGGTTCTACTTTGAGGTATATTATTTCATCAATTCTATGTTCATTGAGCTAGATTATGAAAACTCTAGGTGATATTGGGTATGGAACTTCATTCTTGCTTATAAATTTACTTGTCTTGATGACTATATTTTTATTTAATTCATAAACCTTAATGTAATGGAAAAAAAATTCACATGAGCATTGTAACAATTTCATCATAGAGTATAATATTAATGGCATCTAGCACACATCGATATGCAACTTCTAGAACATGCCAGATGTGTAGAAGCACACAGTATAACAGATCAACTTTCCAATTAATTATGTGAAAGAGAATTCACTTTTGATAATTATAAGCTCTTTGCATTACCTGGAGTCCAAAAAATATCAACCCAAAACTATCTGTATGCTATTTGGTTTCAAAGAATGCTATTTGGTGTCATTCTTTGAAAGAAGCTGTAGCATAAAAACATATTACTCTAAGTAATTCAACTGATTCTATTCTTTTTTCTACATAATATGAACTAGCACTGGTAAGATAAAATAGCTAACTTGGGGGAAGTCACCTTCAACTACTGTTAAAAACCAGATGTTACAATTGTTAAGAACAAAGTCACTATTAAAGCTGTTGAAAATTGAAATACTAGTGTTATTTGCTAACTCTATCTCATGCCAGGCAATCGAAGGAATGAGATGAAACATAATTAAAAAATAAATGGTATTGAGACAGAAAGCTCATTTTCATTGCACTTGCAGTTTTATTTTTCAAAAACTGTTTCTTCTCACACAGATAACGATAGACTTATCTTCTTTTACTAATGCATAAATGGAATATTAAAATTCTCAAGACAATAGTTCAGAAGAAATCAAATGCTTGACAATTGGGCATAACATGGGATCAAACTTCTGGCAGCTTATCCATTTGGGGTTGTAGTTAAATAAGTTGGCAGGATTTGCAAAAATATTTTTACATAGTACAAAAAATAACAGCGCAAGAGTGGTAGAATATTCTCATCATTCTAATCGGTACTGATTATCTCAGCTCTCAAGTACATTTATAAACTATTCGGTGTGAATATGTTGGTTCTTGATAAAAGAAAATAAAGGGTGAATCATAGATAGCATTCCCAGAAATCATCATCCTCTATATCTATAGGTCAATATCAAAAACCTCCATTGAGGAAGGTTCCAAGTAATACATACAATAAGGAGAATAAAATCAACTCAGTATTAAATGCCCCTACACCAATTTTTTTTTTGTTTGAGCTCTATCTTTTTCACAGGCAAGGAAAAGTATAAGAAGAGGTGATTAATGTAAAATTGTATTATTTTTAAGTTTTAGATAAAGTATTTTTTAAAATGTGATTAATAGGATTTTTAATCTACTAACCTGTTAAATGCTTCAATCTATTGTTCACTTGAAGATGATGATGAAGCCTGGTTAAACACTTCACTTGCAAGTTGTGCATATTTACTCTCTATAATATCGCATTTACTCTCTAGCCCTTCTATGCGCCCTTTTAGTGATTCATTTTCTTTTTCAGTAGCACTCAGCTTTTCCAACAACACAGCCTTGGAGGAGTTACCACCTTTTAACTCCTTAGCAGTAATTCCACCACCAAATCTAACTACATGACTCTTGCATTGAGGTCTGAAGCACCTTTCTACGACCTCAATGTTTGTAAGAGACGATTCAGATTGCACCAGTTCTTGGATTTTAGCCTATAAATTACAAGACTATTGGAAATAATACAACACAGAAAATAAAATGATGTAAAATAAAATTTGACAATAAAATTACATATTTTTCATTGGTTTCAGGTTCGACAAGCTTGTCGTCCTTCTTACGAGTCTCAAAAAAGATAGTTGTCATATCTGGGGGGTTTCCATCTTTGCCTCCCTTCACATTTAACTAAAAAGTCACAGAATTTTTTTAACAAAGATAAAGTTTCTCAATAAAATTACAATATTTACTCACCAATTCATGCATGATCTCTCGAATAGGCTTACTACCCGTACGATGAGGCATTGTCAACTTAGATCTATTGATCGAGTTTCTTGTACTTGTTTCCTAAATTAACACTACGCCACCAAAAGTATTATTAGCCACTTAATATAAGAAGATTTTAATAAATAGTTATGAAACCTTACCTTAAATTTTTCAGTTAAAAAATGCTCTTTGACCAGCCATTCCCAATCACTCTTGTCTACCCCCTCTGGCACATCTCTTAAAGCATCGCAGAATGTCTTAGACTTTATGTTCTTGTGCATCGATCCTCTCCAATTGTTCCATAACTTTCTCATATGTTTCAAGACATGATCTCGTTGATCATTTATGTTATCACTATTAAATTTGTTCTAGATTATTTTACAAGTATCTTTAATAATGAAACTCAAAAAAAATTCAAAGAAATTAGAAAAATAAAATTTTAACCAACTATGTGTATCACAGGAGATTATAAAGCTCATAATGGTTATACGAGTTCTAATTTATAAAGAGGGCATATTCCTTAACGAAAAAAGTGAAGCGAGCATCAGTTGATACTTGGTTCTATTTGACAGGCAAAAGAAAGATACTTATGCACAAATATACCTGCAACAGTCAAAATGAGAAGTTAGCCAAATTTGAAGCAGCAAATATGCATGAGTGAATATTAATAACAGAAGAATAGGTGTATGCCAAGATTAAAATGAGGAACAAATAGTAAATCAGTTATAAGTGCATCTAGAGAATCTAAGAAAGTGATAGGGTTGAGTTTATCTAAAATGTTCTGAAAGTACTTTATTCTAGGACTTGGCAACTTTTACATCAAAATCTCCAAATATAATGCAATTTTTTTGACACCACTACATTATTAGATTAAGTTAAAATATAATAACCAATACACCTCTTCATAGTGAACCCAACACAGTAACATGAATAAGAATAAGGTACTAATAAATTAAAGATTGTGACATTTCCCGAAGATTTGCTCGACAAAAAAGCACAGGCACTTCTTTAGCTCTTGACTAGCAAACATGGTTCGAATACATAATCTATGTATCAAAATTACGGCGAGAAGCGCAAATATAAAACTAGTACCCAATAAGGATAGAATAAAGGAAAAGTAAAAGCACATTATTACTTAGTCATTTGCTGAAGCATTAACAAATCATGATATATGGAGCAGCCAAACTTTTTAAGTGCTTCACATATAGTACTTCTCCCTATTTGATAATGATAAATAATGCACAAAATTTCACAAAGATAATACCTGATCAAAGAACTAAGTAGATATTGGTCTTTTACAATATCTACTTTTACTCCTGCATAGGCTAAAACATGATGAATTTTATTTACATTTGGAATTGACACCTCTAATTATTTACGCTGGAGTAGTTCTTTTTTAGAAATAAAAAAAAGTTTCGACAAGTTCACTACATTCTGAAACTGCAGATTAGTACAAAAATCTTAACATATTTGTAATTTTTGTGTTGTATTATTCATTCACAAATTACAGACTAGTATAAAGTCACAAATCACTTAAATTCTTTAGTTTCCAGTTTTGTGAAGCATTTCATTCACTTAGAATTAAACTCGTAATATAAATGAAAATAACAAGCGTACGCTTCAAGAAGAGTCATGGTTTTAGTCAAAAAAAAGGAAGAAAAAAGTCATCAATATATACATGCCTACAACAGTAACAAGTGCCTATCTCTGTCTTGACTGTAAAATTGCAATTGAACTTTCAATATGGTAAAACCAGCCATTCAATGGATGATGTAAGCTCATAGTCTTTTCTTTTCCTTTTCATTTGCTAATCGAAATTCTCTGTTCAACGCTTACTCTTACATTTTTGGCCTTTTCATATTCATATGGACCTGAAAATCACAATTAAGTAAAAAAAAATCAGTACAATAACAACAACAAAGATTACAACTTAAGAAAATAGTATACTTATTTTGCTTCTCTGAGTGCCTTGCATCGCTTCTTCATCAGGGAAGGAAGCATCACATTCCAATATTGGATCAAAACTAGGAGGCCCAAGACTATCCTTCTGAGCTAGCTTATTCTGATTAGAAGCTACTGCATTATAGTTTTTATTTTTGCTAATCGAAGTTCTCTGTTCAACGCTTACTCTTACTTTTTTGGCCTTTTCATATTCATATGGACCTGTAAATCATAATTAAGTAAAAAAAATCAATACAATAACAACAAAAACAAAGATTACAACTTAAGAAAATAATATACTTATTTTGCTTCTCTGAGCGCCTTGCATTGCTTTTTCATTAGAAAAGGAAGCATCATATTCTAATATTGGATCAAAACCAGGAGGCCCAAGACTATCCTTCTGAGCTAGCTTATTCTGATTAGAAGTTACTGTATTATAGTTTTTATTTTTTCCCATCAAAGTTCTTTGTTCAGCGTTTGCTCTTACTTGTTTGGTCTTTTCAGATTCATATGGACCTGTAAGTCACAATTAAGTCAAAAAAATTCAGTACAATGACAATAACAAAAAATTACAACTTAAGACAATAATATACTTATTTCGCTTCTTTGTTCAGCGTTTACTCTTACAGAACCAAAAGCTCTAAAGCTTTTCCCTCGTCCCCTTACTAAGGCACCAGGTGGAACGTATGCATGCTTAAAAGTCTTCGAAGTTGATACCATTCAAACTTTTGAGATTTTGATGGATTCATGTCAGCCTGATAGAAAAAAAAATAGTTGATTAATAGATATTCATGTCAATTTCATCATATATGAACATGTGAAGGTGTAGGAAACAAACTAAAAAGTTAGATGGCAATAGACAACAGTAATGAATAAAATTGACACAAACATAACACATGAAAACTTTAAGATAACAAATGTTTAGTGAGTCAATCCATTATATATGAACATACAATCAACTAAGAAGAAAACCACTGGTGGAGTTTTAGAAACGTTTTTCCTTTCCTGCAACTTAACTTGTAAATCAAATGGGTTTTAGTATGGAACTTTTATTATAATAAAGGAGTTAACAAATTAAAAGCAGGTGTGATAGAACTCCAAACCTTCTTGAGTTCTTTTCCTTTTTAGTTGTGAAGAATTATCTAACTCCTCTAAATCATCAATATTCTTTTGCATAATGTCAAAAGAATCACGATGTTGCACTTTTTGTACAACATGTCAGCCTTTATTAGAAAGATCCTCAGCATAAAAAACTTGCGATGCTTGGTTGGCTAATACAAAAGGCTCATTTGTTTTTAAAAATCGCTGGCGGTTAACACTTACAAAGCCATATTCATCTATTTTAACTCCTTTTTCTTTGTCATACACATCAAACCATGTACATCGAAATAAAACCACCCTTCTTCCCGGAACAAATTGTAATTCTAGAATCTCTGTTAGTTCACCATAGAAATCAATATTTTTATTCTCTTCATCGGTCTCTCCAACGACAACCACCCCACAATTTTGAGTTCTAAAACCTTTATCATAGTCCAGTACGTAAAACCTATATCCGTTAATAATATAGCCACGAAAACTTGTCACATATGGCGTGGGACCACGTGACAATGACAACAAATCTGCCATTTTCTTACTGTCATCGTATTTTTGCAATCTTGCGACCTATCAAGATCAAATATATAGTTTAGCAAATAATAATTACATATAACTTTGAGTAAATGAGTTGTAGCCTCTAGACCCTTCTTGTAACAAATTTATGCACAATGTTTTAACTTGTCTTTAAGTAGACATGTTTCTGATGCATGCTGTGTAAGTGTATAATGATTTTCACCACATTAGGGCAATGCTATTGTGATGGAGATGTGTGTTCATTCCTAAAAAGTGTAATAGATTTAACACATTGCAAATTACTTATCTTTGTTCTTGGGAAGTGAATTTTAAGTATACATCTTCTTAAGGTTACTTGTGAGGTAGCATTCAAGACAATTCTAAGTATACATCTTTTTCTAATCCTGTCTTCAAAAATTTCAAAAAAGAAAACGTCTCTACATCATCTACATTTAGTTCAGATTCTTGAGTTTAAGGAAAGATATATTCTTAGTATATCCATATTCTGAAAGGCTTTTAAAGAAGTAGAAAGGTCCAAAAGGAATAGGGGAACAAGGATTGTATACAAATTCAGAGGAGCATGACAAGTAGCATAAAGACCAATAGATGTCTAACTTAGTAGTCAAACAATGAGATATGAGAATTATGTATCTTAGAAAGAAGCAAGTTCGAGCAAGTACAAACATTATACGAAAGCTCTACGTCCAATGAAATAGATTTAGAATCGCATATGGTTCATTAATCACTTTACAAAGCATTAGATACCTCTATTAAAAATGAAGACGCAATTCTCCACTAAAATTTGGCGACCTTATGTGATATTAGAACTAGACAAATGCAAATTTTGGCCAACCATCTTTAGTCTAGAGGTCAGGATAGACATGAAGGAAAAAAAATCAGATGCATTAGATTATTATATGAAGCTTAGATACAAAACTATTATACACTGCAGTGACATCTGAGCGACATTACTTGTTGATACAATAATATGTTTCCTTTAATAAGACCAGTATATTATTCATATATGCAATATATATACTCTTTTTACCCCATCCTCTGAAAAAGAAACACATATAGTTAAGCCATTCCCCATTACTTGAAAACAAGGTAAACCAACACCCTCCCTTCCCCCCACCCCTCCCAAAAAAGGAAGTTAGAAGAAAACAACAGAAAAGGAGAAATCTTTCTAATAAGGAACAAATAAAACCACACAGGTATATTCAAATGAGTGGCTAAACTAAAAAAAAACTGGCAAGAGCATAAGTATATCCTTTTACTATACATAATATGTTCTCCAAATCGATTGATCTGTTATTCTATTAAAAAGAATTTCCTTTCTTTCAAAATCAAACTCAATCCACATATATAATCATCTTTACAAGATGAATACACATATTTGACATATAAAATAAAGGCGAGCAAAAATCAATCAAACAAAAAAGAACTTTTATCAGCAATACTCTTCAAATTTGGATGTAATTAAGTATTTGAAAGATATGTAATTCTAAGAAGAAATCCAATATTTGATAAACACAGAGTTAATTCATACATAAGGAAAACACATAGGTTGAATAGAAGTTTACAGATTACCTTGACAAGAAGGAAAATAAAACCCTAGGTTGTAGAAAAGAAGCCAACTTGTGATTCTTTGCAGATCTTTGACTGCTCAAAGCTAGCTATGTGCGTGTATTCTTGTAACTGCAATTTGTCTTGTTCTCAATTGATAAAACAGAGAGAAGTTATCTTGTTCTCAATTGATAAAACAATGAAAAGTGTTTTGTTTTAGGAGGGGTGGTCACTGGAGTTGAGGGTTGTGGGCTGCTTGTGGATTGGCTAAAAAAACGAGGGAAAAACTGGAGCCTATTTATTATTTGTCATATTGCTTATAATATATATTTTAACATTTGGATTATTTTAATTTTTAATGACCGGAAATCATCCCTTCGTAAATATAAACAAAAAATTAGACTTTAACGATCGAAAAAAAGTTTGGTCGTTATACATACACTTTTAACGACCGGATTCATGTCCCTTCGTTAAAATTTTGTTGTTAAAAGTCAATATTCTTGTAGTGTCAAAATAGAATAATAACAATTATTAACGATGATTTAAGCTGAAATACATGAAATAAACCCATTACATAACACAATCTAACTCAACCCCAGAAATCTAGTATCACCAGTATATGAGCAACTATAAGTCTACAAGTATAGTTTGAAATAAATACAACTGTTCGAATGAGATAACAATGATAGAAGAAAATGGAAGGGGACTTCAAGGTCTGCGAATGTTAGCAGCTCAACCTAATGTCTCCGAAGCAAATATGATCCGAGAAGATGCACCTCTAAGCCCTGCTGGGACCAATACCGATATTTGCATAAGAAGTACATAAGTGTCGCATGAGTACAATTGACCCAATGTACTCCATAAGTGTCGAGTCTAACCTCGACGAGGTAGTGATGAGGCTGTAACAAGACACCTACATCAAATCCTGTACATATATATATATATATATATAAACAAAATAACAAGTAGAACGATAAGATATTAACTTGGAGGGGACATGCAAAATGAGTAATATCATGAAAATGACAAGTATGAAAATCATCAAATAGCATTTTTTGAAAGAAGCAACAGTGTAACCAAGTAAATCACCAAAATCGAAAATCAAATAAGGCAATGAAATAAAGATGGCACGGCATCACCCTTCGTACTTTTACTCTCGTCCTCACCATGTGATATCATAATAAAATGACACGGCATTACCCTTCGTGCTTTTACTCTTCCGCATGGCATCACCCTTAATGCTTTAATCCCTTCAACCTCTCAATATATTATGATGAATGCAAATAAGGCACATCAACACCCTTTGTGCTTTTCACTCTACCTCACCAATCAATAATACCAATTTCAAATAATAAATGCATGGCGAGAAATAATTTCACTTCAATTATAGTGCCATGATATCAAACTCAACTTCCAAAAAATTCACAACTTCTTCAAAATAAACAATAAATATGAGACGAATAATTAAAAGTATTAATCTAACCTATGCATGGAGAACAAAGTCATATAGAACAAAGAAACAATTCCCACTCGCATTCTTTAACCCAATAACAAGGTATAAGTACTCGTCACCTCACACATATGTCATTCCCACATATAATTCACGTATCAAATAAACCAAGTAGTTGTCCTAATCCCTCAAGTCAAGGTTAACCACGATACTTACCTCACTCCGCAACCAAATCAATCAATCAGCCACGGCTTTGTATTCTGAACAAGCCTCCAAACCAAGCAAATTATCAATTAAACAGTTCAAAATAAGCTTTAGAAACTACCCATTAATGAAAAAGGTTCAATTTTGATCACCTTAAGAAAAGTCAACAAAAGTCAACCCCGGGCCCGCTTAGTCAAAACCTGAGGTTCGGACCAAAATTCAATTACTCATTTACCCCCGAACCCAGTTATGTGATTTGTTTTGAAATCAGACCTCAATTTGAGGTCTAAATTTTAATTTTACAAAATGCCCAATATCTACCCAAATCCCTAATTTCTACCATGAAAATCCTAGATTTGATGTTGAAAACACATGAAAAGTAACGGGTATTTGAAAAAAAATAGATTAAAGTTGCTTAGAAATGATTTTTGGAAGAAAATCCTTAAGAAAGTTTTATACAAAATTTCACAAGTGTAATAATATCATACAAACTCGCTTACGGGATCAAAACACCAAAATAACACCTAGAAGTACGAATTGGACATCAAAATGCATGAAATTTTCAAAGAAACTCAAGAACTACTAGAATCTCATCTAAGCGTCTGAATCATATCAAATCAACTCCGACTTATACCAAATTTTGCTGACAAGTTTCAAATATCAAAGTGGACCAATACCAAGTCCCGAAACCAAAATCCAAATTCGGTAGCCATAAAGTCAAGCTATGATCAAACCTAAGAAATTTTCAAACCTTCAAATTACTAGATTTTAGCAAAACAAGTCAAATCAAATTAGCCACTTCCTAATTTAATTTCGAGCATACGCCCAAGGCAAAAATCACTGTACGGATCCACTAGGATCATTAAAATACCGACCTGGGATCGTTTATGTGATGACCCGGCCGATCATTTTAAGTGTATTAGCCCCGATACCTTATTTATTGCCTATTTTGTGTTATATTTTGGTTAGGTGACTTGGTGGGTTTTGGTTGTGGTTTCGGATTGAAATGGGACACATAGTCCCTAAGTTGGAGGTTTAAGTCGTAGGAGTTAACCGTAGTTTGACTTGTGTGAAGACAACTTGGGAATGGAGTTTTAACGGTTCCAATAGCTCTATAGGGCGATTTTGGTCTTAGAAGCGAGTCCGAATGTTGATTTGGAGGTCTGTAGGTCGTTTCAGCGTTAATTAGCAAAAGTTTGAAAGTTGGAAGATTTTTGAAGTTTGACCGGAAGTGGACTTTTTGATATCGGGGTCGTATTCTGATTATGGAAGGTGGAGTAGGTCCATAATGTCATGTATGACTTGTGTGTAAAATTTGGTGTCAATCAGAGTTGTTTTGGTATAAGTCAACGTTGGTTTCAGAATTCGAAAGTTCTTAAGTTCTTAGTCTTGAATCGATGCGCGATTCATGGTTCTAGTATTGTTTGAAATATTTGACGCTTTGAACATGTTCGTATGATGTGTTAGGACTTATTGGTATGCTTGATTGAGGTCCCGGGGGCATCGCGTGTGATTCGGACCATGTTCGGTGCATTTCAGATCATTGAGGAATTGTTGATGTTCTAGTTCTCTTCAGTTCTGGTTTCCTCTTACATGATTGCAAATAAGGGGCCACAATCGCGAAGCTTTGAGACTGGCAAGCATGAATTTGTTATATGCAATTGCGTGAAGGCATACACGATCACAAAGCTTGAGAGATCAGAGAATCGTGAACGTGTGGCTGTAGCCGTGTTCGTAGTGAAGGAGGGGAGGACCTGGGTAGGGTCCTGCTTTGCTCTATGCGGTTGCGAAGGTGTGCACGTGTTCACGAATAATGTTTTTGAGCTGATGGAAATTTTTTTCTTCGCGATCACGAAGGAAATTTAGCTATCGCGATGTGTAAATAATTGGGTAGCAGAACATAAGTTTGAAATCGAGGGTTTATTTCATATTTCACAATTTGGACTTAGAGAGCTCAGTTTGAGGCGATATTTTGAGGGTTTTTCAGAGGGATTGTTAGGGTAAGAGTTCTTAACTTAATTTTGATTAAATTCCACTAATCCATCATTTATTTTATCATGTAATTACGGATTTGGGTTGGAAAAAAATTGGGGAAAGTTATAAAACTTCCTATGCCAAACTTTTAGTTTTGGGAGGCGAAATGAGGTCGGATTTGAATAATTCTTGTATGCTTGGACTCGATATCAAATGAGTGTTCGATTTTTATAATTTTTCTCAGGTTCCAAGGCGCGGGCCTGGTGGTGACTTTTTGGAGCGATTTTTCAATTATTTGCTAACATCATAGTTTCATTATTTAAATTAGTTTCCTATAGTTATATTTATAGTATGAAATTATTTTTGCTAGATTCGAGCCGTTCGGAATTAGAAAATTGAGGGAAAGACCTTCTAGTTGATTGATTTAGCGTGGTTTGATGTAAGTTACTAGTCTAACCTTGTGTGGGGAAAATTCGTCTTAGGATTTGATATTGTTGTGATAATTGTGATATATGGAGGCCGTATACGCAAGGTGACAAGTACGTACACGGGCTAAATGTTGAGATTCCGGTTCTAGCTACGTAGTTTCCTATTCATGCTACTTTAGCATGTTATAGTCACCTTGTTTAGTCTAATCTCACATGTCTACTTTTCTTATCTCTTAATTGCAACTTGTCCTACATGTTTAGTTGAATTATTTGCTTTCTTTAATTCTATTCATTATTTAACTGTGCGATTCTTTACTTGAAATTTGCTATCCTTGGAATATCTTGCTATTGAGTTTTGTATTGAGTTGCAAAGGCTGTGGTTTCTATTGAGGCAAAGTGTAAGTTGTGAAATATCATTTTATTGAGTTGTTATATTTTGGCACACTTGTTATTTTTGAGAGGATTGTTTGGGTGTTTGCACGTGGTTTCTGGCGTGCTGTTGATACTATTGATAAGCATGCAGTGGTATAAGGTCTGAGTGTTGAAACTAATGTGATGAGATAAAGTAGGCTTAATACGCGTGGCTAGTAGGGGAACTACTAGAAGCCACATGGTGTGATAAGGTGGGCTAAAATATGGGGTGCTATTTTGGAAAAATAATTTTTAAAACTAAATGTAAAAGCTCCCGCGGTGATGTAAGGAAAAACTCTGATTTACTTTTATGATTTGGGACTACGAGGCGGTACCTCGGTGGTGGCCCCTGTTTATTCTTTCTTTATTTACTATAATTGCCTTGGTTGTTTGCTTCCTTAACGTGTAAATCCTTGTATCTTCCATGTTGTATTAACTTCGTATTGTTTCGTATTATCTCCTGTAGGGCCTTGACCTGACCTCGTCACTACACTACTAACGTTAGGCTTTGCACTTATTAGGTACCGTTGTGGTGTACTCATACTACGCTTCTGCATATATTTTTGTGCAGATCCAAGTACATCTTATCAGTCCCAGCACTAGTGCGCTGAGTTGTATTTGGAGACTTCAAGGTACACCTGCCCGCGTCCACAAGTCTCGGGGTCCCCTTCTATCCTGTTCTTCCTTATTTCATTTCACTTTTATAGACTGTGATGTATAGGATTGATCAGCAATGTACTTAGAGCTTGTGACTTATATCTCACTAGGTTTTGGGAGGTGTATGTATTGCGTTACAGATTTTCTTTATA